TTTTGAAGGAAGAATCCACTTGCAAAGAAGCCAAGTCCAAGTTTGCTTCCACTTAGTCTAAGGAGGTTTAAGGCAAGTTGTAGCCAATGGGGACCCTTGGATGGGGATTGATCTTAGCCCTTGAATCCAAGGAGGTTTGCCTATAAATAGAGAAGTAGTCTCATTGTAAATTCATTCATTGTAGTTTGAGTTGTTTTTATACAAGAGAAAATTCCCCAAACTTACTTGTTCTACATATTGTCTGTACTTCCAAAATCTCTACTCAAAGTTATCCTAATTTAGCCTAGTAAGGTTGAATTAGTTTGTGGGCGTCGAAAGGCTTACTTAACGTTTTCTCGTAGGGACAGGAATTGTGTGCGTTAAGACCGCACGGTATCTAGTTATTCTAGTGTGAGAAAACTAGTCCCGTGACATTGAGCACGAGGTTATTTTTTAATATTAAAAAAGAAAAATGGAAATACCAATTTTTTTGGTCAAGCATGAGGAGGCCAACTCAGCTACCCGAGGTCTAACCCCGATGCCAACGAGATTTAACACTAAATAGTAACGAGCAATTTTTTGCTAAATTAAGCTCCAGTTTGATGGGGGATTAAACCCAGTTTTTTAGTAGATTTTGATAATAGTTGTGGACCCATAAAATATAGGCCCACTGCCCTAAAAAAATATATTTTTGATTAATACCCTTCAAACTACATGAAATTATAATTACCGTATCAATTAATTCCAAACCTCAAAATACAGAAAACCCAAATCAGAAGGAGGAAGCCCGTGAATTAGCAAACTCCGAGACACCTTCGTTCCCAATTCAAATTCGACTCCAATGTTCTTGCAAGAGAAAATCCCACCCACCACGTGAAGAAGCTGCTTGAACCAACAAAGATGAAGACTCTGTGGCTGAGCATGAGGCGGGGGTTTGGGCCAAGCACTTTAAGCTTGCTAGTGGGTAATATGGGATCAAGGCCACGCGTAGATGTTATGGAACCAGACTAGGGTACTACCCGTGTCCATGACAAAGGACAGAGTCTGCGGTGGAGTTCCGAAGTTGAGAGAGATGGAGTAGCCGCCGTAGCTCCGGAGAAAGAGGGGTGTTTTGGTGACTGCAACTCAATGGAGTCCCCCTCACACATCCACCGGACCAGTCAAGTACATCTCATTCACTCTGTGATTTAGGAACATATCCGTATAAGCACTCACAAAATGGTCTAGTTAGAAGAAACAAATGTGACTTATAAAGACATTGTAAATTCCACAAATCCACAATAATCAAGGTATACCTTTGAACAATTGAACCTGCACCAGAAATGTGTAAATACTCTGTTGGAAATTAATTCCAATTCGGGGCTGTGTTTTGACTTAGTATTTCTTTTTATTGTGTTTGTTGCTATTGTTTAGGAAATAAGTTGGATTTTTCTGATCTAGATTTGAAGTTGATCTAGTTTATGCAGATCATGTCCACTAAGTATTTGTTATTATGTGTCAAAGAGTGTTGCAAAAATATTAAGTAGTGGTCACAAGATCATGCCCACTAAGTGTTTGTTAATATGTGTCAAAGAGTATTGCAAAAATATTAAGTAGTGGTCATGTATTTGTAACTACCAAGTGTTGAATGTCTATTTAATCACTTGAAGTCCTGCAATAGAGGGAATCATCGGTCAATAAAAAAAGGGTTTCTTCGTTATATTTGATATATTCATTTTTGATTGAGATTTCTACACTTTCAAAGTAGTATCAGAGCAAAGTTAATAGAATTAGAATTTAGAGTTGTGAGTTATCAAACACTGAGAGTTAGAGAGTTGTGAGTGATCAACCACATCCACTTATAAATGGCTTCTATTAGTGTCGTACCAAACTCATCTCAGAATGTACCTGTCTTTACTGGACTTAACTACCAGTTTTAGCGTATCAAGATGAGGACTCTATTCCCGTCCTAGGATTTGTAGGACTTGGTTTTTTCCCATTTATTTTATTTATATGGTGATAGATGTTGTTTATTGTTGATAAATCTTGTGGGCGTCATGGATCATGTTAGTGGTTTTACATGGTATTGTTAGTGCAAACTTATTTACAAATCTGGTGGGTTAATACCCTAAAAAGTCACTGAATTTTATTTTTGTCACTTTTTTTCTTTTGAATTTCGTCACTTTTGAGTGTGTCACTTTTTTTTTTAAATTTTTGTCATTTTTTAAAAAAAATTGTCACTTTTTTGAGCTTGTCATTTTTCTTGAATTTTGTCACTATTTGAGCGTTTGTCACTTTTTTAATCCGTATAACTTCTTTTAATTTGTGCCACTTTTTTGAATTCATCAATTTTTTAAAATTTATCACTTTTTTGAATTTTGCATTTTTTTTAGTGTTTATCACTTTTTTCAGCCACCTTCTTGATTTCTATCCTTTTTTAGCGATAAACATCAATTTTTAATAAAAGTGACATTGTGTGTCATTTTTTAATAAAAAAATGACACTTAACTTTAAAAGTGACAGTGTGTCACTTTTTCATTGTCACTTTTTTTTTACTGTGTCATTTTTTCTATTAAAAAAAGTGACTGATTTTACACAGTATTTTTTACTTTCAAAACATGTTTTATATAATTTTTCAAAAGACCCCTAATTTTAAGGGTATTTTTGTAAGTTGCCCTAATTAAAATTGATTATTGACTTTAATCTAGATTTAAAAAAAATTGCAATATGTCACAAGACAATGTTTCAAGATATTTTATAATATACTTGAGTTTTGTTGTAATTCTTTTCATATTTGATCCATAATATAAATCAACAGCAAGAAAATATTGACAATTCCAATGATTAATTCTAACAAAAATATGAATGTCATTCACCAAAAAATCTATAATCTACATTAATAACAAAAATATAGAGTAATGTTATTCATCCCCAGATGAATAGTATTACTAAAAAATATGCACAAAAAATCATCAAATATTCATATGCAGCCAAAACACATACACCATAAAAAAAACAAAATTATTTTTGTTGTACATAATTTTTTACCTAATTGATTACCTAATTGACAAATGATGGCCCTCTATTGAGGGGTGCCTGGGCCCACATGCAGACCCCTAGGCACCCCCTAAATAGGGGGCCGCCACTGTCAATTTGGTAACACATTAATTAACATATTAGAACCCTGCTACATTATCAGGGTGGTGGCTCACAGGGTCGGTCCACGTTACTCACATTCAGGGGGTGGGTATATTTTTGGACATTTTTTATTGCACGTGGGGCCCACCTCATTGAGAGAGAGTCTGTAACCCACCTATGAACCAAAGCCTGGTAGAGTAACATTTTTTAACATATTATATTATGTACTTGTAGCATAATTGAAAAAAAACATCCAATAGAAATATTTACGTAGATTATGGATTTTTTCAGTGAATATCATACGTATTTTTGTTAAATCTAATCATCAGAATCATCAATATTTTTCTTGCCGTTAATTTTTAGATTATGAGTTTAGTTATTAATGGCAGAATTAAGTCGTGATTGACGCATTCTAGCACCACCTTTTTTCTTCTTTGCTTGTTGATAGGGCAAAAATAAGTAGCTTAACTAAGCCAACTACTTCCACTACAAAGTACCGCTTTTCTCTCTCTTACCAGTCTTTGTGCTTCTCTCTCTTAAATCACGCACATGCAGACCGTTGTATGTATCCACGTATGTATGTATGTACAGTTCACTGTGAGCCTACAGTTGAAGGAAGAAATCTATTGACCTTGGTACTGAAGAAAAGAACTTTCGAAAGGAAACTTAATTTCTAGGGTTTTGGACAGCTCAGAACTGTTAAATTGAGATTTTTATTTTGGATTAGCCAATGATTGTTTGTTTTATTTGCTTTATCATCATTTACACGAAGGATTTCCGCCTTTGTTGATGTGATCCTCTACATCCGTACCATCTTGTAATTTTTTGTTGAAGCTCATAGCGAAGCAGCCGTCTGTTACACTGTGACTAATGTGGATTAGTTTCTGTTTTTAGGAGTATCTTTTTATAAATTCTGTGGGATTTTAGTTTAATTTATAAAGTTGTTATGGGGGAAAGGCCAGAAATAGAACTGATATAAATTAGGGGAAATGGCTGATCGTAGTAAGAGCAGGATACGTTTTAGCAGACTTTACTCGTTTTTGTGTTTGCGATCGCCATTTAGGGATGAACATAGCCAAATTGGGCAGAAGGGTTTTTCAAGGGTTGTGTATTGTAACGAACCTGATAGCACAGAGCAGCTCCAACTTAGGTATAGGAGCAATTACGTTTCTACAACCAAGTACAACGCTTTTAATTTTATTCCGAAGTCATTGTTCGAGCAGTTTAGGAGGGTGGCAAATATATATTTTCTTGTTGTAGCTTGTGTTTCATTTAGTCCCCTGGCACCATACACAGCTACTAGCATTCTCTTCCCTTTGATTGTGGTGATTGGAGCGACAATGGCCAAGGAAGCGGTCGAAGACTGGAGACGCAGGAAGCAGGTGTTATTTTTATTGCTTTTCTGAGGTTCTCTTCGTATTGCTTTCGTTTTTCTGCCTTTTCGCGTACTTTTACTCTATAGTAGTTTTTGAGTGCATATTTAGGTCGATAGTGCTACATTTTTAAACTACTTGTAAGCAGTTAAATTATTGTGAATAATAGTTGTGTTCCAAAATATGAATGGAGAAGTGGAGGACTATGTTCAATGAAGAAATGCAGGAATTAGGTTTCCCTATCATCCATTTATCACCAGTGGCTGTGGTCACAATCAACTTCTTAAGCTTAACGTTCTGTTTCTTTTTTCTGTTGTAGCATGTTGAGGTTATTGCCCATTTTTTCAGTTTTCGACCCTTTTACCATTTTATCATTTTTTTGCTTCATTTTTATATCAGTTGCCAAGGTTGTCGACAATTTAAAACACTTCAAAGAAGATGAGCTTGTAATAGGTAAAAGAATCAAAGAATTGTGGTTTGGGCAAAATATGAACTATCTAATAAAAATACAGAATTTAGCTTCTTTATTTCTTTATACTTGGAATATAAAGACTGATAACAACCACTTCAAGCTTGAGATTTGTTTTTAACCATCTGTACTTGGTCCACATAAGTAGTTCTTTAGTGCCTAGCACAAAGATAATGTTGTTAATGAAAGTAAAAATAGTTCACGTCCTTTATCATTCTGTAAACTTATTGATTAGCACAAACTTTAGCAGCATATCTAATTTGTTGAGTTCTGTTCTCTAAAGCTCAGCACCACAATCTTCCATTATACATGCTTTTGTTTGCTAGAGTTCAAATTTTTATTTTATTTGTTCTTTTTCATAAGGCATGGCTTTGTGTATCTTGATTCCTTAAATTCTTTTCAGGATATTGAGGCCAATAATAGGAAGGTCGAAGTTTATGATAGGAATCACAATTTTCAAGAAACCAGATGGAAAAAATTACGGGTTGGGGATCTTGTGAAGGTATATAAGAATGAATATTTTCCTGCGGATCTGTTGCTTCTTTCATCAAGCTATGAGGATGGGATTTGTTATGTGGAAACTATGAATCTAGATGGAGAGACTAATCTGAAGGTGAAGCATGCTTTAGATGTTACAGCTTCTCTGCATGATGACGATTCTTTTCAGCAATTTAAGGCAGTTATGAAATGTGAGGACCCAAATGAAGATTTGTATGCATTCGTTGGAACTCTGTTCTACAATGGTCAGCGGCATCCTCTATCGGTACAACAGATCCTTCTAAGAGATTCTAAACTGCGGAATACTGATTATGTCTATGGGGTGGTTATTTTTACTGGTCATGACACAAAAGTTATGCAGAATGCTACAGACCCTCCTTCCAAGAGAAGCAATATCGAGAGAAAAATGGATAAAATAATATACATCCTCTTTAGTACGTTAATTTTGATATCATTTATAGGATCTTTCTTTTTTGGAATTCAGACTAAGAACGATATTGTTGGTGGAAAGTTAAAGAGGTGGTATCTACGACCAGACAAGACAACTGTGTTTTATGACCCGAAAAGAGCAGTGCTTGCTGCATTTTTTCATTTCTTGACTGGGCTTATGTTGTATGGGTCTTTGATTCCAATATCACTGTATGTGTCCATCGAAATTGTAAAGGTTTTACAGAGTATATTTATTAATCAAGACCAGGATATGTATTATGAGGATACAGATAAGCCAGCACGTGCAAGGACTTCCAATTTGAATGAAGAACTTGGTCAAGTTGATACAATTCTTTCTGATAAAACGGGGACTCTGACATGCAATTCCATGGAGTTTGTTAAATGTACAATAGCTGGCATAGCTTATGGTCGTGGCATGACAGAAGTAGAGAGGGCACTAGCAAAGAGAAAAGGGAAGGCTGTACCTGACTCTGGAAACACTTCCTCTTATGTTCGAGGGTCTAGTGATCGCCACACAGACTCGGGAAAATCAATCAGAGGTTTTAACTTCAGAGATGAACGCATTATGAATGGTCATTGGGTTAATGAACCTCATGCAGATGTGATACAAAAGTTCTTTAGAGTTTTAGCACTCTGCCATACAGCCATTCCCGATGTCAATCAAGAATCTGGTGAAATTTCCTATGAAGCTGAATCCCCAGATGAAGCTGCCTTTGTCATAGCTGCAAGGGAACTTGGCTTTGAGTTCTTTGAAAGAACCCAAACTAGCATCTCTTTGCATGAATTTGATCATCAGAGTGGCAGAAAGATTGACAGGTGTGATCCCTTTGAAAATAAATTATGTTAATTTCTTTCTGCATTTCTTATATTGTGATGTTAGCACGAAAGAGTGAAGATACTATTGATAGATTTGGAATTCTTAAGCCTAAACCATGCAGTAGACTACCTACTCAGTTAATTCGTACCTACCGTTATGGGATACAAGGCTGTTTAAGTCGCTGCATCCTCACTGGTGCCAATGCCCCTGTCACCGCCTAGTGCTTCAGATAGTCTGTCAACACAACTGCAGATCATCTATGCAATGTAGGATAGCTGTTCTAGACAATGACAAACAGACACAATCAGGCACCAGCAACTATTCAAATTGCTTGAAACCATGCAATGAAGTAGTTACATGGTCGACTGATGTGGACCGTGGAATATTTCACATAACACCAATATATAAGGTCATGCTATAAGTTTGGGAACATATAGTCTTATTTGTTGTATTTTGGAGTAAACCAACTGTTGGGGGAAGAAGCTAAATGATCAAAATAACGTCTTTTGACTACAATGGTAAAAAGATACAGCTATCTAAATTAAAAGGGATCAAGATTCTTGTAATATCATATATCTTAATCTTTTTCTGATGAAAATTAATAGTTTTTGATATGAAAGGATTGTATCTTATCTGGTATTAATCTTGATTGTATTGGAGTTGACCACTAGCATTTTAGCTGGCTATTTGGAGTACCTCTAACAGGGATGTATTCAAACTGTTTGTTTTGAGTGAGCGATGAAGAGCTAGAGTGCATTTTGAATAATCTTAGGACGATACCTTTATATAATGGAATGCTATATCGCTCGCATTAACATACTTCAAGAACAAGAAAATCTGAAAAACCAAAATATACATGGTTCTGTTGATATAACTATGTCCATGGGCAATTAACGCAATCCCTTACAAATAGGAATGTGGAGAGTACAAAAAGATACTTAGATGACAAATGAATTCTGCACCTATTAATATAGTTACTAAGAACTAGCCTTTATTGACAGTCCCAATAAGCTAGTCCAAATTTGCTATGGTCCGAAAAACACAGTCCATAGTCAGTGGCCTTGCATCAAAAGAATACAAAACATACTTCATTAATTTTATTTTATTTTCCTGGAGAGTCCCATTTTACTTGTTATTGTAATAACTGGAGCTTCTCCATTCTGCTAACTGACCCCGAACAATAAAAAACAGTATCTGTTTATTTGTATTTGTCTTGATATTATGATATGGCATTTTTCCAGATCATATAAGCTTCTTCATGTCTTAGAGTTCAGCAGTGCTCGGAAAAGAATGTCTGTAATTGTACAGAATGTAGAAAACCAGTTGCTGCTCCTATGCAAGGGTGCAGACAGGTTCCCCCTAAACTGACACAGCACTATTGGCTTGTTTACTGTGCAAACATGGTATAAATCTTTCCTTTTCCTGTTTCATTGGTCGTGTTTCCTCTATTCCATCCAGTGTGATGTTTGAACGGCTCTCAAGAAATGGACGAGATTTTGAAGCTACAACAAGGGATCATATTAAAGAATATGCTGAAGCAGGTTTACGAACTTTAGTTGTCGCATATCGTGAGCTTAATGAAGAAGAGTTTAGGTTGTGGGAGGAGGAGTTTCTGCAGGCCCAGACTTCTCTAAATGCGGATCGAGATGCAATGGTAGATGCAGCTGCCGAAAGGATTGAAAGAAACTTAATTCTCCTAGGTGCTACGGCTGTCGAAGATAAACTACAGAAAGGGGTCAATATAAAACTTGCTATCTTGCTTAATCATTTACTATTTTGTCTATTGATTTTTTTTTTTCATCTCATTTATTATTTTCTGGGTTTTGTAAATTTCAAGTTAATGTGTGTACATTGCTGACGACTCTTGTCTCTGGTGTGAAGGTTCCTGAATGCATTGACAAGCTTGCAGAGGCTGGAATTAAGATGTGGGTCATAACTGGTGACAAGATGGAGACAGCAATAAACATTGGGTAAGGGTGACATGTTTCATTATGGTCACATTTTCTTCTTCTGCATTGGGGACAGTTCATTTGTGATCTGTAGTACAATGTATCCTGTAGATATGCTTGTAGCTTACTTAGAGACGACATGAAGCAAATTGTAGTTACCCTAGACTCTCCAGAAATAAATGACCTAGAAAGACAAGGAAACAAGGAAGCTATTGCGAAGGTACATGATTCTGAAATTCTTGTTTCACGATTGTCAATTTTATATAGTCTTTGATGTGGTCAACTATCTCAGGCTTCGAGTGCAAGTATATCAAAACAAATAAGTGAAGGAAATTCACAAATCAGTTTATCTAATGGAAGTTCCATCTCCTTTGGTTTGATAATTGATGGCAAGTCATTATCGTTTGCTCTCAACAAGAATTTGGAGGATTCATTTTTGGATCTTGCGATTAATTGTTCATCTGTTATATGCTGTCGCTCCACACCTAAACAGAAAGCTCTTGTATGTGCTATCATCGTGCCCATTTCTATATTTCCAGAAATATCTTTGCTCTAAACTTGTTCAACACCTATATAATCTGATAGTGCTGTCGAAGATGTTCAGGTTACTAGATTGGTAAAAAGGGGTATAGGCAAGACAACGTTAGCAATTGGTGATGGGGCAAATGATGTAGGCATGCTTCAAGAGGCTGATATTGGGGTTGGCATCAGTGGTGTTGAAGGCATGCAGGTCATCTCCACTTTTGCTTCCATTAATATTTTCCTTTCTGGCTTCTTGGATGTTAAAATAAATCCAAGTATCCAAATTCGGCCATTCCAAGATTCTTCCCTGCTACATCGTCAATGGTCACTTAACTGTTTTACTATTTTATTTCCCTTCGAAGGACTTTTATATCTTTGTATATCACTAACATGCAGGCTGCTTTGGTTGATAATTATATGTGAACTAAGAATTAGAAGTATCTAACATCAGATTTGGTGGAAGAGTTTGATTATGAACTTGCACACCTCTCTATCTCTCTAGGGAGCCTAATTATCCATGCGTTTATATGCATTGTTTTCTGTCTGATTTAGTGCATAGCCTGTGTGGAATCAGAAGAGATGCTTCAAGAATCTCAAAGAAGGAAGAGGAAAACAGGAGATTTTCACAAATCAAACCTCAATATATGATGTTTGACATTTAAATTGGATAAGATCAATTGATTTTAAATAGACCGAGGGATTTTAAATTATTTTGAAGCTTGACATAATTAAAGATTTTATTAAATTCTCTATCTTACGGTATATAGTTTGTCACGTATACATCTCTACGTGCTTGTATCAAGTCCAAGGAAGAGATTACTCTCGTCTTTCTTATTTTCCTCGATTCCTAGTCAAAACCCTCCTGAAATCCTGCTATGAGACTTTTTAAAATGCTAGTTTGTGAAATGTCCTCTTTCATTGTGTGGATGCTTATTTTGAAAATTTTGGTTGATATCATATTGACATTCTATTCAGGCTGTGATGTCAAGTGATTTCTCCATAGCTCAGTTCCGGTTTCTTGAGCGTCTCTTGTTGGTTCATGGCCACTGGTGTTACAGACGAATATCTATGATGGTAAATATTTTAATTCATTGTGCTCCCATTTCATAAGAATTAAAGTGAAATTTCTTTATAATAACAAACAAAAATAGCTCTTTCAGATTGTAGCTTGCTATATCTGTATAATGCTCTAAATTTATTTTCCTACTTTCTTCAGTGGAAGTGGGAAGAAAGACTTTGAATGTTTACTTTAGAGATGTCATTTTTCGAGTCCTTGAAACAAATGAGGTCTTGTGGATAAAATGAAGCCTTTTGCTATGTCAAAGAAAATAATATCGAAAAAGGAAAATGAAACTTGTTATTGTTGCCGAATTCTAACATCTTTCTTGTGGTATGAGTGCAGATATGCTATTTTTTTTACAAGAACATTGCATTTGGGTTCACTTTATTTTGGTTTGAGGCTTATGCTTCGTTCTCTGGCAAACCTGCTTATAATGATTGGTACATGTCTTTCTACAACGTATTCTTCACTTCACTTCCCGTGATTGCTCTTGGTGTTTTTGATCAGGACATATCTGCACGACTCTGTCTTAAGGTAAAACCATATATTTCAACGGCTCCATTATATTCAACGGACTTTGACAATAATCTCAACCGTGTAGAAATTTGTTCATTGTCACTAACTTTTCTATTTGCTATCCTCTGTGTGTTTTATGACATTAAGATGGATATGATATATATATTCTGATTGGCATTTGATCCACAGTATCCCGTGTTATATAAAGAGGGAGTGCAGAATGTTCTCTTCAGCTGGCCGCTCGTTCTTGGCTGGATGTTGAACGGTGTTATTAGTTCCATGATTATCTTTTTCTTCACAACAAATGCTGTCGTTAATCAGGCTTTCCGGAGAGATGGTCATGTTGTCGATTATGAAGTGCTTGGGGTTATGATGTATACTTGTGTCGTGTGGACAGTGAACTGTCAAATGGCAATATCTATTAACTACTTCACTTGGATCCAGCACTTCTTCATCTGGGGAAGCATTGCTTTCTGGTATGCATTTCTAGTGATGTACGGTGCCGTGTCTCCTATAATATCTACAACAGCATACCAAGTTCTCGTGGAAACCTGCGCTCCGAGTCCTTTTTACTGGCTGGTTACACTTCTGGTTGTCGTTTCCTCTCTATTACCATATCTTTCATACAGAACTTTACAAATTCAGTTTCGACCTATGATCCATGACATTATTCAAAGACTAAGGTCTGAAGGCTCAGAAACAGAAATTTCGGGGGAGTTGTCTCTTGGAAACAAGGAAAAATTAGCTCTAGTAGAGGAAAAATTGATAGACAGAGTCAATGCTACATAAACAGTAAAATGTAGGAAAGGTCGAGCCAGTTCACAGTCCTAATGTAGATTTAATGTATTATAGAAGTATATGTAAGATTTTAACCTTAGTTTTCTTTGGGGAGGAAATTTTTTTTACCCCCAATTGCTTCAACATATAGTAGTTTCTTATTTGTATCCTCAGGCAGCTAGCAAGTCTCCATGTATGATGTGTTGGGACTTGTTTGTTCATTTCCTATTGTCAGGCCTACAGCTTATAATCCCTACCAAACCAGCACTAAATTACAAAGAAGTGATTATTATGAATTACAGATTATGCATTTGTAGATTAACTAGCGAAAGGGACTTCATCATCCAAAGCTAGAGGTGTTAAAGTGGGTTGATACGTCCATGGGCTGCAATTATCTGGCCTGTCTAAGTCTAAATGGGCCAGTCTGTTCATTGCTGTCATGCCTCTCTAGCCCACGATCTGAAATTGTAATAGATGCTGTTGGGCTTGGAATGTTTAGCCTACCATGGCCCAGGACCTGAAATATGATTAGACAAATAATTTCAACAGTCAACACTAACCACCCTTATAACAAGAAGTCCATCAATTCAACGAGTCCTGCAAAATTGGCCCTACATTTTTTTTCAAACTGACCTGACCGGACAGACACCAATAAAAGTCAAAATTGGAAGAGAATCAGTCGAGCAAGCCTAACTTAACTCGTCAAGCGATTGCACATATGTACAATAACCAACGAAGTTACAATTTTTTTACGTGGTCTATGATTAGAAGATTCAATCCTTCATGTTGTGCTTCTTTTCCTTTTCATTAACGCACTAGATGACTACCTAATTTACAAAGAAGGACAGTATAACTTCTTGATATTGACATTTTCTCACAATAATTTATACAAATTATAGACGGTATAATTGTATGCAATATTCAAATTGATTTGGTGTGCTGTTTTCACGTGTACCTTTCTAGAAAGTCAACCATTTTAGCAAGTTAGATTCCCAGTTTTTGTTCGTCGAAGCATCCAAATTGGCGGCTTTCATTCATAGGCCTCCAGAATGGTCAACTGTAATGGCAGAATTCATGATGAAATTTGGATTAACATTTTGTTATTTATTTAATTCAAATGAGATATTATATTCCGTATTAATCAATAGTAGCGACAAATCAAGAAATTGGCATTATTATAGTGGAGTAAATGTAAGCCCACGTGTGGGGTGACCTCGTTAGCCGTATTAACCAAGTAAAGCTCCTCCAACAAACACCGTCAAATTCGCCGTCAACATATTTCCTTAGATAAGTTTTCCCTTCCCAAACCCTCATATATAAGCATCTTCATTCACCTCTAGTTTCATCTCTCTCTCTCTCATACATAACATAAGACAAATAGAAGCGACTGATTTGGACGAAGAATATGAGCAGTGGCCAAGAGGATATTAGTATCTGCCCTAGCTTCAATTGCTATTCAGCTGATGGATTAGCAGAAATTGCTGTAAAAGTTACGATGGAGAGCTCAAACGATGCCGTGGGATATGAAGACCACAATGATGATTACGATGAGGATTTTGAGTTTGCTTTTGTACGTGAGAATCAGGAAGTTTTAACCGGAGACACCAAAATCAAGCCGATTTTCCCTATATTTAATCGCGATCTTTTGGTGGATAGCGATGAAAAGTGTTTGGAATCGTCTGATCAGGTAGAGAATATTAGAATTCCGTTAAATAAATTATTTATCGAAGATCGTGTTGACAAGGAGCGTGAGATTCCTTCATCGTCGTCATCGGAAGTAGATGAATTGGAGAGCGTACCACCGGGAACGTACTGTGTATGGAGGCCAAAGTTGGCGGAGCCATCGCCGAGCCGATGTCGGAAAAGCAAGTCCACTGGATCCGGTTCGAGGAGGTGGAAGCTGTGCGATTTGATGCGACGAAGCAATAGCGACGGCAAGGACTCTTTCGTCTTTTTAACACCAAAGCACCGGGAAGAGAAGCAGGAGAAGATTGAGAATTCGAAAAAATCAAAAGCAAAGGGAGCCGCCCTATACGGCGGCGGCATGCCGGGATCACCGTCAGCTCACGAAGCGCACTATATACGGAATAGAGCAATTAATGAAGAGAATAAAAAGAAATCGTATTTACCGTACAGACGAGATCTCGTAGGGTTTTTCGCTAATGTCAACGGTTTAGGCAGGAGTTTTGCACCGTCCTAGATGCCGGATGGTTGTACCTTCAGTTCAAATGGCGGTATAGTATCGAAATCTTTGTTTATTAATTTTTTTTTTTACCATAGTTGGAGATATTTTACCTACAAATACTCTATATTTTGTAGATAATCTAATAATTTATCAATCGAGAACATGTGCAAAGATAGTAAATTGCAGCAGTTTCTTTGCTGTTTCTCGAACCGTTCGGTGTTGGATTGTAAATGCAATTGGAAGAAGTGCACAAGTGATTAGAGAGACTTGTAATTAATGGCACTGCATGTGTATGTAACTGGGTGAAGTGCACGACTCATGAAAGTGAAACACGACAAAATGAATTTAATAATAGAATGAAAAATTTGGTGACAATAAGCCACTTGCTGAATTGAGAGTTGGGGTTTGGTGATGGAGACAAAAAGCTGAATTCACGACTGTTTAATTAGATAGGGACAATGCGTGAAGAGGTTTGGTGAAGCAGTCGTGCCTATAGTTTAATTAATTAGTGGGCCCCACACTAATTAAAGTAGGCCGTAAAAATTACAGCCCACTAATGACTGTAAGTGTAGCAGGTTTCTTTTCATTTTTACGGTGACAAATTCTATAATTATCACAACACGTTTGATGAGGATGATTGTATGAAACACAAGTGAAATTGTGCAGCGAGCAACTTTTGACCTACACGACAGGCGTGCACTTGTGGAATAAATATAAATTACTTGCATCTGAATATAAAATTTCTATGAAATCTCACTGTTGAAAGGATATAGTTTTCAAGAAAGCATGTGCCACATTAAATTGAGGTGTTTCGTAGCGAGAACTCGATGCAAATATGCAATTATAATCCTTTTCATTGCAAGTCACAATTTTTTTACTAAATTTATAATAAAACAATTAATTACATGAATAATATTTATGTTCACTAGAACTGAATTTATCATGTATCCTCTCGATTGACATACTGCTCGAAATCAGCTCGAGCGACGATACGTTGTGCATTCCTCCAATATGGCATCCTTCTTTCCATAAGGTCATTTCTCGGTTGATTTTTGATTATTTTCACTGTCCCACTACGATTTTACCAACAATTTACACACCTATATTTGGAAAATGCTTCTTTGCATAATGACGAGGCGTCAAAATGTAAGTAAGGAAATTATGTGATTGATGAGATTATGATCTAATAAAATCTCGTTACATCATATATTGGTGAATCATTAAGTAAATTGTTATGTACATGTAGCACAATCGTCTATATCTAATAAAACAGGGCGTTGACTCTTATGTTGTTTCATTAAACGAAAGTGGATGAATCTTGGGTTAAAAATAAAGGGGAATTTTACTTGAATATTTAATTTCACATGTTTAAGCATAATTTGCGTGATTTAACTACTAGTCACAAGGGAGATTTTGTGTGATAAAATATGTTTGGCATCAATTTGTGGTCTTCGCTGGGATATTAGTATATTCAAAGAGTAGAAAGAAAAAATAAAAAATAAAAATCCTGTTTCACAATAATTCTTTTTTTTTAAAAAAAAATTATTTAAAAGGAGAAAAAAGTCAACATGCTCACCCTAATTTCTTCTGGAGAGGAAAAATTCACTTTCCCTACTTTATCTTTACCTTATTTCAAAAATAACCAAACAACTTTTACATTTCAAAAATCAGATTTTTTGACCTATATATACACATATTTATAAATATTTATTTATTTATTTAAATATATAAAAAGATATAAATAAATAAATAAATA